AATATTGATCCAAAAAATATATCATCATCAACACCTTTTCTTATACATGATCCATGTTTTCCTCGTGGTCTTAATGATTCAACAACACCAGCAAGTCTATTTCGTTCACCATGTACAGCTAATGAAAAACAATTATTTAATTATACTTTTAATATGTCAATATCATTTATTGGTATTGGTAATGCTTATGAATGTCGTCAACATCTTAAAAATTTATTTGATAGTAAACGTAATGATAAAACAGTTAATTGTTCATATAAACAAGAATATTGTACATTTGATCATACATTTCAACCAAAATTACCAAATACAATTCGTTTTATTGGTGTTTCTGGTTATTATTATGTATTTGATAATTTAGTTTTTGGTATTTAAAATCTATATATTTATTAACAAAAAAAAAAACAATTTCAAAATATAATTTCTTCTAGGTATGCCAAAACCACCTACAGCAAATAGTGAACGACATAGAATAAGAGATTATTCACCAAGCGTAATACAAAAACGTCTTATTAATGTTGTAAGTATTGATATCAAATTACAAATAACAAAAAAAATAATAATAATAAATAAAATAATTTTATTCTAGTGTGAAACAGAATATGAAATACTTTATAAACAAGAATCAATGAATTCAAATAATGTACAACATAAACGAGCTTTATGTTTTGATGCTTCGTATGTATGGCTTTTATTAACATATGGTATTGGTTTTACAAAAGATGATTTAAAACGTGTAAGTTTTGCAAAATCATTTCCAACAGGTAAAGTTGGTTGGACACTTGGTTATATGATTAATCAAACAAATTATATACCAGCTGAATATCGTGAAAAACGTATAGAAAAAAATCGATTTATTAGTGGAATAACAATATCATTAATAATATCTTTAATTACACTTAGTTTTCTTATTATTACATGTTATAAATATATATGTCATACATATCATAAACGAACAAATCATATAATAAAAGAAAATAAAGATGGTTATATTCAACCACATCAACAATCGATGGTTTAAAAAATAAAAGAATCCGGTGTTACTTTTTTTTTTTTTTTTTTTTTTTTTTTTTTTTTTTTTATGTATTTTTTTTAAAAAAAGAAACATCTTTTCATCTACTTATAAATGTTAGAGACTGGGAGAAATGAATTATATTGATCTTGTGTGTACAGATATTATATATTAATGTTAGTATTTATACTCAAATTTATGTTTTTTTTATCTTACACTGATATTCAATTGAACAAATTCGAGATTGAATGCTAACATAGATATAAATATATATTATATATTTGTTTATTAGTTATAGTATATATGTTGTCAAGTGTTTTTGTTTTCGTGTTTCAGTTTGCTTTAGTTGATATTTTACAAAACAAAACTCAATGTCTTATTCTTTTAATTTTTATTATTGTGTCTGTCCTAATTGAAGTGAACGTTGTGCCATAGCTAAAGCACCATCATAAGTTGCATTACCACCAATAAAACCAGATGCATGTACAAATATACATCCTGATATATTAGCTTTTATACTTAATTCATTATCACGTAAACCTTGCCATTGTTGTGGTAATGATAAACGATTTTCAAAAGATTTTTTATTTAATGGAACAGCTTGTATACGCCAAGTTTTATTTGAATCAGGATAAAGTACATATTTAATTGTATTATTAAGAATTTCTTTTTGTTCTTGTTCAATATCAAATAAATGATCACGCCATGGACATGGACAATCTAAAACAATTATTGAACCGGATGGATCAATCTAAAAATATTTAAATAAACAAAATTTTTATTAATTTTATGAAATTTTACTTCAAAACGTCGAGCAATTGCTTTTTCAAGTAATGCTCTTGCTGGCCACCATTGATGAATATAATGATTAAATCTATCAAGAAATTCTTTTCCAATCATATCCATAGCTTGTTTAAATCCAATCTTTATTTTTTTTTTATCAATAAAAATATTAGTAGAAGAGTTATTTAATATAACTTACTTCTTCTTTTTCTTCAGGATTTGGATCATTCCAAGCTGGATTAAAATAACCAACACGTGCACTAAGATTTGTATGAATTTTATATCTAAACGATGAAATCAAAACAAAAAAAAAACGTTGTTTTGTAATAAAAGGATTATTAAATAAAGAAAAATATTTACTTCATATTTTCACCAATATCAACTCCATTATCAATAGCATCAATTTCTTCTACGAATGTTTCATATAATTTATTAAATAAAATTTCAGTTAAATATTCTTTAATATTATTATCAAGAGTTTCTTTTTTTAATAATTCTTTTATAATTTCTCGTCCATAATGAACATAAATTAAACCAGCACTTGACAATCTTATTGTCCATGGTTTATCAGGTTGTAAAGAATGAAATGTATCAGTAAATGATCTATATACACATATAAAACATAAATTCATCGAAATAAAATATTTAGATATAAGAAATAATTAATATACTTTTGATGATGATCAAATCGTCTTTGTTCAGCATTGAATACACCACCAACATCAACAACAGTATCACATTCAGCTAATATCTTTGGATCACGTGTTCTTGAAAAAAAAATATACAAATATAAGCTTAAAACGGTATTCTCTAATTAGAATTTATTCAGGGGTCGATACTACACGGTGCCTCATCGAGTGAGTAATGCATGTTCTCGGAAATGTATTATTACGGTGACCCTGGTAACGTGAGAAGCAAATTCTTCAGTAAGTCGATGAAATCCGTAGGCCAAGCTGCCTCGAGTGGATTGCTTCAACTAACCCGTGTTAATCAGTTTGCAAGAGGAGAAACAGTTGGCATTCAACGTCACTTACTCACTAGTCTGTTCGAACTACGTTGTCAATGTACACTATGAAAGGGCATAGTGATGACGCTTCTGCTTAGCAGAAGTGATAGACTATCAGGAGGGTACTGTAGACGGGACAGTAGCTTTGGCATCCGCTAAGAAGAGAAAAAGCCTCTGTCCACTGCTTGCAATTCTCATATGATCAGGCTGCTAGTATACAAAAAACTATCACGCTGGATCATGGTAGTCCTAAGAACACTTGTATCTATTTATTTGGGTGCATTTCAGTCAAGGTTTAGTAAACTGAGGTGTGACTGGGTAATGTACCCAGTTACCGTTCGAAAACAATCCCTCGTGAGAGGGGCGCTACCTTCGGCGTGACGTGCATGAATTTATTCAATGTCTTAATATTTTAAACACTGAATATCTCTTATAATGGACATTAGAATAATTTCAATATGCAAAAATCAACATTTTTCTGAACTGACATGATCTTAGTAATCATACACAGAGATAAAAATATAATTCTCAAGTAACTCTTAAACCGAACAATAAACATTTTATGATTCGTAAGTTGTTTAGCATCACTTTTCTTTTCTGAAGGTTTTTATTTTTTCTTATTCATATAAGTGATATTGTTAAATATAATATCAAGACATCTGATGAAACCATTTTACTAAAGCAGGATACTATTATAAAGAAAAAATTTTCTTTTTATGGGTAATTTCGTCTCATAAAAAAAATCGAAATAATTTGAAATTTTGCATGTTGAAAAGAAGTCAGACATTTTTCTACATTCAATATGTCAACAACAAAAAATCCGTATTCACTGAAAATTTCAGGACAATTGACAGATCATAGAAACTGATTATAAGTGAAATTCTTTTCTTTCAGATTTTTGCAAAGGTCCAAGATATCTACTAAAGGATGTTGTGTAACTTTACAAGAAGCACAAGATATTTCATTTTAGCTATAGTATGAGCATACTGAGAGTCCATCAGCTCTATTTTTATGGTTGTCTTATATCGTACAGTAATCCACATAAAATAGGTATTTATACGATTATTTTGTATCGTTGGTTTCTACTCAAGTTACAGTCAGTACTTCGAATGTAGGACATAGTGCAGACAATGTCATAAGGATTGTGAACTAATATCTTCATATAACAACATTGGTTCAAGTCTCTCTTTGCTTGAACATAGGATGTCAAAATTGGTTAATCCTAACAACGTTTGATCAGTATAGAATTAAAATTCTTTATAGAGGCGAAAGAATTATATATATAAATAATATTCCTGATTTTCATTATAACTCGTTCATATAAATTTGATTACTAAAAATGATATAGAAAATCTTCTAAATAATTGAAACTAACCTGATAATTTCTGCATTAGCATATCGAGGTAAAGTTTTCAATAAAAAACAAGCAAATATTTCATCACAATGAAAATGTCCATTGTGTGTACCAATTTTAATTGTACTAGTATTTGACATTGTTCGTCGAAAACCGTGTAAACGTCTGATTATTGATATCATCAAAAGTAATAAAGAAATAAAATAGATTATTAATTATTATTTTTTTTAATCTGATATAGACTTAATATGTCCCATAATAAACTTATGAGAGAAGTTTTTCAATTGGTTAAACACTTGTGAGTCGAAACTAATATGCTTTATATATTAAGCTATTTCCATAGTTTATAATATATGAAAGTTTCAGATGTTTTTTATTGCCTTATTAGGATCTATATAATACACAGAATTCATATTTCAAAGCGATTAATCAATTGGAGAACTTTCTTCATAAGTATAAGACAAAACATAAATGGTAATACTCTATATGTTCCTACACGTTCTATTTATTTATTTACTTAGTTATCTGTAGTGTTTTTTTATTGTCGTTGCTTTTCACCCGTCTGACACAGTAAAGAAGCAAAAAGAAGACGAAGTAGAAGAAGAAGAAACATGAGAAAAAAAAAGGCAGAAAAAATGAATAACAATGACAAAGATGAACAACAACAATACATAAAGAACTTCTGAGCGGCTAAAGACCGATGGAAATGAAAGAGAAGAAAAGTCTATCACGAACACAAAATGAACATACACACACACACGAACTTTGTTTCTTTTCTTCTATCATCACAATATACATAACCAGAATGAAATAAAAGATATAAACATAATCCTTCAATTGATAGTCTAATTCTGTTCATCATTATTGAATATTGCATAATCATCACTAACAAGATTAACCGCATCACGAAGTGATTCCATTGTTTCCTTTGAAGAAAAGATAAAATTTTATTTTTTATTTAATATATATATATATATACAAAGAAGAAGAAAAAAATAATAATAAAAGCCACATAGAGAGAGAAAAAAAAACATATACTAGGAAATTCAATTTTTCAATGAAATATTTATATATAGATGCTTCCCTTCATCTGCGCATACCTGAATAGCTAGAGTTAATGACGTGGTAGAATTGTCGACAGATGATGTCTCTATGCGGATGACATTACCGCATGAAGACTATACTAAGGAGAAGCAAAAAAGTCAATGAATTCGAACAAACAAAAAAAAAACAAGTAAAAATAAAAAAAATATCTTAATTTGGAAGACTTTTTTTTTATCGTATAAAATTAAAAACTCATTTTTTCCTTGCTCCGAAGAAATTTTCTATATTTCTATGAAATAAACAATATCGTACCCTATCGATATCTTCTAATAAATCTTTAGCCGATACAGCATCATTTGCTATCAATGTTGTTGTTGTTATTATTGATTTTGTTGTAACTGTTTCAACATATGTTGCTGGTATATCAGATACGTATGTAATTGGTTCTGAAAGTGATAAGTCTTAAAAACAAAACGTTAGAATTAAATAAATAAAAAAATTTTCTCTTATATTTTTTGTTTAATCCTTTACTCCCCATAGCAGTTCCAGAAGAGCCATCGATAAAATAACTATACGAATAAAGTACTAGCGTATCTAGTATAACAATAATGTGGTCTGATCAAGGGGGAAAAGCGGAAATATCGTACTTCCAGACTATGTCATAACTGTGCATCACATATGTGTAGCTATTTCAAGTCTCCTATAGATCTGTGTTACGCTATATTAGCCGAAGTCCAGCCTACGTAAGCCTATCTGACAATAAAGCCAGAATACTTCATCGTACTCCTACTTTGGAAGTACAATGAAGTATTTGGGCTTTAGGGTGAGGGTAACTTATGTAAGCTGGACTCGGACTAATACATCATAACGCAGGTCGATAAGAGACTTGAAATAACTAAACAGATCTGATGCACAATTATGACTTAGTCTAGAAGTACAGCATTTTCGCTTTTTCCCCCGTTAGATCTGATCCATCGAGTGTCTACCTCTTTGTGTAGGGACCATTTAGTTGATCGGTTAACTGTGTGATGCAGTAAAGAAATGGAACGACACACTAAGCGTTGATTTTTGTTTTTCTTTGACCACATTATTGAATGAGCAAAAACCATATCTATCTTATGTTATTGAAATCATGGAAAACGGAGGAAATAAACCGATAAAAATAAATGTCAAAAAGAATGTATGTGTTTTGAACACATCTTGTCAAATAGACATCTACTTTGCTTTGGACCTTTTTATTATTTCTGAAGAGATTTAATTCTAAATAAATACTATTCTAACTTCTTATGAGCTGAGGCTTATAATACATATATTATCATTTTTCTTAATTGTTCTATGAAGACTTCATAGAGTAAGTCCTTGATCAATGATATGGGGGTTAGTGTGTGCAATTGGTCAACTAATCGCGATGTATTCGAAACATATCTAACTGATTAGTAGACACTTTCATTAATTTATGTCATATAGAGATTTTGAAAGATCTTTATTTACTTTAAGTAAAAAACGATTTTTTTTTCAAAATTATCAATTTTATAAGACTATATTTCAAAGACGAAGCAATAAAAAAAAATGATATGTTCTACAATCATTCTACAAATGACTAATTCATTGACCATTAGAGGAGATAAAGGATTGATTAATTATTATAAAACTACATACTATTTGTTTTTGTTTCTGGTTTTTTATCTTCACTATCATCATCACTAACTAATACAATATCATCATCATCATCATCATTATTATTATTATTGTTATTATCATTTTTTGTTAATACTTGACCATTACCAACTGTTGGTTTATTAATATTACTTTTATAATCACCATTTAATTGATTAAGATGATAGATTTGATTATTATTATTATGTGAAAAATCTCCTGATATTGGATGTAAAGATGAATAACGATGATCAAAATGATTATGACGACGAAATTTTTTATGAAGATTATCATTCATTGTTTGAAGATATGAATCTGATGGTGAACCATCTATACCAATTAGATCAACGTTTGATTGATGAACACCTAAATTTTGATTGGATTTTTTAATACCATTTGTATGTAGTAAATTTTCATCATCATCATCATCATCAGAACTAATGTCTGATCTACCGTCATCATCATTACTTTCATTATCATCAACTTCATCACTTTCATCCATTTCTTCACTAATTTCTTCTTCTTCATCATATTCATCCATATGTTCATTCTCATGTTCTTCTTCTTCATCACTTTCATCAGCAAATATATCTAAATTTATAATAATCTTTAAAATAAATAAATAAATAAATAAATAGAATTATTTTACGTTCAGCTCCATCTTCTTCTTCATCATCATCAATTTCAACAGGTCGTGTATCAACTAATTTTGGTCGTTTTTGTTTTTGTTCAGATATTTGATTATATTCTTCTTTATGATGTTCTATTGTAAAAATAATTCAAAAATTATTTATTATTATTTTCGTAAATTTACCTTTAACAGGTGGAATAAATGTTTCGAGATTCATTGGTTGTGTTTGAGGTAATACATCAATAGTAGGATATGACATTGATGTTGCTGGTTGTAAAAATACATTTGTTGTTGTTGTTGTTTCCATAGGAGTTTGATGAACTGATGGTTTTGAAAGAGATTGAGGATTCATTAAAAGTGGTTGTTCTATATTCATCATTGATATTGATGATGTTTCAATATTATTCATTATTGGCATTGTTGAAGGTACAAATACATTACGAAGTTCATTTGTTGTTGAATAATTAATATTATTAGGTGGAATTTTTCGTGGTTTATCAACATTTAAAAATGACCATGGTTGATATAAACGACTTGTTGAATCATGTACTTGTTGCCATACAAGTTTTAATTTACGTATAACCATTTTAACCTAAAAATAAAGAATTCAATAAAAATTTTGATAGAATTTAGTTCATAAAACAAAATCTTTATATTTACTTTTACAGATGGATCTAATAAGTTAGCATTATCAATTAAATCTTTACTAATAGCAATAATTGTTGAACAATCAGCTCTTTCATTAATTAATAAACATTCAAGAATATTATATAAACCAACACGACATATTTCATCATCATATGGTTTATTAATACTATTATTTGTTGATTGACAAATCATAAGTGTTTGTATAAAATGATTTTGAATAAGCTAAAATAATTATTAATTAATTTATAACAAAAATAATTTATTTTTTATCTTACATTATATTGATCTTTCGGCATATGATCCGAATACATATTGAGCAATTGTTGAGAACCTTTTTTAAATAAACATCAAAGTATGAAGAAAAAAAAAACAAAATTTTTTTTTTTTATTTATATATAAAAATTTCAACATACAATTAATTACAATTCGAGATAAATTATGATCTGGTCTTGATAAATATGCAATTGGTATTTTCGATCGTGTACGTAATGTTGAATCATTTATAATCCAACGAATTAATTTTTGCAATATATCAACATCAATTCGTACTTGTCGTTGAAATAATGCTAATAAATTTGTTAATAATTGATAAATATTTATTGATAATGTTCTAAAAAAACAAAACAAAAAAACATTAATGAAAAGAAAAAAAAACAAATACTTACAAATATTCAGCTTGTGGACGTACAATATCAAGTAATGAAATAAATAATGTAAATATTGATCGAATATTAAACGCAAATGATGATGCATTACTAAAAAAAAATTAATAATTAAAGAAAAAGAAGTAAAAAAAAAAAACATACAAAGTAACAAGTGTATCACATAATTGAACGCAAGAACCAAGTAATGTTGGTAAATGTTGTTTACGATGAAGTGTGTTCTAAATAAATTGATACTCGTATCATGCATTTAATAATTACAATAAATAGAGATGCAACGTTGACGGTTAACCGGTGAATGATCGTCACTGTTGCACTCCTAACAATAAACTCAATTTTATTCTCGAATTAAAAATTTTTCTATGTGACAGTAAACGCGAATGTCAGCATATATACTGTACATCTCTGTGCATCTAACCAATCACCTTGTGTTTTTTTGTCTAATATCTTAAGATTCTTTTGTTTATACTATTTATTTAAAACAAAAAAGAAGATTAGGACTCCTTCTTACAAATTGTTGGCTATTAATTGATACGACTTTTGATATTAGTTTAAATGTTCGTTCACATGTGACTGCTACTGAAGAATCCAATTGCACACTAATATAAAATATATATAAATTAATAATTTTTTTGTTAAATAAAAATTCTTACTAGAAAAGATATTTTAATATATGACAACAATTAGAAAAAATAGCTGCATAATCAGTTGATGAAATCACATCACCAATTTCAGCTGTTAATGTTGTTTCAAAATCAGTTACATCCGAACAAAGAGAATCTAAAAAGAATAGAAGAAATAAAATATATTTTGATATGGTTTTTATTTCGTATTACCATTTATTCCTGAATAAAGTTGATCAATAAGAAGAGAAGCTATTTTAAGATATCGATCATATTCATTTTTCCATGATTTAGCTTGTTTTGCAGTTGATGGTATTCCAAGTACAGATAAATGAGCAATACATTTGCAACAAATCTAAATCAAGAAAAATTTTCGTGTACTTTTTTGTTTTTATGTTCAAATCAAAAAGTTTTTCTACTTCGCTTGGACCAGACATTTTTTTATAGATAATACGAGGTAATAATGGACGAAATTTATTCTTAAAAAAAAAACAAAAAATTCTTAATTAATTTATATCAAAAATCATTTTTATTACATACAATGAGAAATGGTGAAAATTTTTTTGGATAATGCAACATACATTCATAAAGACATGTTGCTGAGAGTAATGGTGCCTAAAATAATAAATAGCTATATTATATGAATTATATAATACTACAGAAGTATTGTAGGAAGAGATACAATAAAAAAAAAAAACAACCGATATTTATCATATGAATAAAAATCTATTCAGTAATTTTCTACTAACTGTTGTAAAATGATCAGCAGCAATAGTAATAATTTCTGATATATAATCTTTTGATAAAAGTAATTCATCAATAATAGGACTTCTTTGAGATGCTTTAAGATATGTTAATAAACCACTTAAACCAATTTGTAACATTGTTCTTGATGTTGCATTCTAATTCGACGAATAAACAAAAAAAAAAAACATAATGTTTTGCTTTTTTTTTTTTTATTAATTATTCAAAGAAAATTTAAATAAAAATCTTTACAACAAGACATGAATAAAGAGCTTTAAGCCGAATTTCAGCTTCCATCTCCAATTGATAATCATTTGGATCATCTTCAAAAAATTGATGAAGTTCCACAAGTGTATTTCCTGTTGACCTAATATTATGTCAACAAAAATTATTGATTAAAACTTATTTTAAATATACAAACATTTTATCCTTTTCACTGTTCGTTAAATCAGCACCGGAAAAGAGCTGAGTATATTAACATAGACAAAATGGAATGAACTAACAAAATATTACACAGTTAGTTAGAACATGGTGACTCATCGAATCAATAACAAGAAATTCACTTGTGAGGGAGCCACAAGTTATAATACTATTTCGAACATTCTTATTCTTATTATTCAAAGTTACAAAGAGAAATAAATATTTTAGTAGAATGTTTTTTATTTTTGTTCAACTCGTTTTTCTAACATCATCATTGATGAATGACAATAGAAATACAATAATGGCTGTTTTGAACCAATAGAAGTTTTTTCACCGTTTACATGCCGTATGAACAAGATGAAAGACAAGATCATATTTCATATGTTCAAATAGCTGAAAGGTCTGTTTTATTCTCTTGAAATTTAAATTCGAATAAAACTAATTAAAATATTCATTGAAACTGAAATGATTGAAACTTATATAAAGAAAGCATCGGGGACAATATAAGAAAAAAATCTTTTAAAGATGTTTTCATTTTGAAATTGAGTTTAATATAAGCCATTTGTATGTTTTGAATATAGTCAAAGCTTTCTCTCGTTTTGATCGATAGGAAGAACAGTATTCAACTGAATCAATTGTCATTAAGTGATTTCGTTAATTAATATCAAATATATCATGGCTTTAAATCAATGAACGCTAACGATTCCTATTCATCCATCTTTTTTAAGCTTATTCAAACATGTTTTATATTCTTTAGAACAGAATTTCACTATTATTTTGTCAATCATTCGATTGATCGAATGTGGGTGTTACCTTGATTCACACCCACTCACATTCTGATAAGACATTGAATCCTAAGCAAAACACGTCTTCTGTGGAACATTTTAAGAGCAAAATATACTTTAAGGACTATGAAACCGAGGTCTCTCATAAGACAACTCAAGAACGCCTTTCGATCGTCGAGTAAAGTATTTTATTTTTACTTTTAGCATCCCAAAGGAAAGAGCGCCTTCAACCATAGTAACAACAAAAGTGTCATTCCATTTCGTTTAAATGCTAGCACATTCCACTTTCAAAAGCGGGACTGATGTCATTGTAGAGATCTTTTTCTCTAACAAGGTTGAAGCCGCCCATGGTGTGAGAATAGACTTAAGGAAGTGATTTTATCGTGACCAATGAACATTCAAATGTCTATTGTCCAGTGTTTGATCTGTACCAACTGTTGATAGAATATCGAGGGTGACGTATTGATGTATGATCGGCAATCGTATTACACCGTGACTCATTCTAACAGAGTGCACTACAGGAGAGTGTCATGGTCGCTTCAAGGTACACTTATCGATAGTTTTTACTCTCGATAAACAGAATGAAAAGAAAAATTACGGCAATGATAAAAGTACGCACATTATACACGCACATGCACGCAGTGACGATGACGACAATGCCACGAAAGAAAAATATTTATTTCGCTCGACATGGTGAACGTATCGATTGGATTGATAAGACGTGGGTAGAAACGGCTGAGCGAACTACTGACCCACCACTATCGTTCTATGGTCTTCAGCAAGCACATGAACTCGGGGTATATGTTGCCAAATTACAACCACGAATAACTCACATCTATGCATCACCATTTTTACGTACTATTCAAACAGCACTGCAAGTAGCCCATGAATTAAATAAGAATATTTCATCCACTGATGAAATTACAAAAATTCGATTGGAACCAGGATACACCGAGTATTTCTTTCCTAACATCGTTCCTGCATGGAATCAAAGCACTATATATCAACCTTTGAATCAACTCTTTGAGATCTCGCAAAATATTGCATATTTCGATGGAGATTATGACAGTATAATCAAAGCTGACTATTTTTTGCAAATTCAAATAGAAACTCGTCAGCAGCTACGAGATCGTTTGAAACGAGTTATACAGAGTACATTGGATGCTCATACGAACGACTGTAATATCTTAATCGTGACTCACGCAGCGTCACTAATCGAAGGAGCGAGAGCTTTAGCAACAATCGGTAGAGAACACAGCCAGAAAGTGATCATGAAGGAAGAAGTCAAGATCACAACGAATCAAGAGAAACACGATCTCGCGGCATGGGACATGCTTCCGATTCGAGCAGGTGTCTGTAGCTTGACTCATTTCGAATTAATAGACGATAAATGGACCCTATCCAAGAACGGACTCGCTGTGTATTTATCAAAAGGTGAACAAAATCCTTGGATCTTCTCTGACGATGCATCACTATACGAAATACTTCAATAGATTGAAAAATATCTGTTAGAATCGATTTCGGTTATCTGTCAATCGATTTTTTCGAAGAAATAAAATAAGTCATTCTAATGCGAAATTTTTTAAAATGTATGATATTCTGTGGCGAAGTTCTCCGTCATTCAATTGCTAAAGCATTGCGGCATACTTTTGTAGTCGGAAGAAAAATAAACCGAGATTTTCGACGTATTATTATGAGAGATAGACTATGTAATTAGTTGGACACTCGGTCGCCAGAAAGTCAGGGTGTCGGTGTGCCTTCGGAGAAGAGCTGCACTAATCTAGCACGGGCAGTCCTGTTTACACCCATCGTACATGAGAGTACAAATTCTAAATTTTGGGGCAGCCATATTTTTTCCAGAGTACATGTTGTACTTGCAATTGTGCAGCTCTCGCACGCCCACATCTCACATTCAATGCTTTTAGACATTCATCTGTGAAAGATCTAAGTTACAATATCTATTTGTTGAGAAAATATAACCCTCACAAATGTTCAATAGTTATCAGTCTTGCGGATTGGTTTTACCGCATGCGTAGTCTTCTCGATCACTTTATCGTCCAGAAGAGTTTGTAAAGCTTCAAAGACTCCAATAATACAAGATGTTCTTCGTGAAAGATAGCATTCATGTCTCCTTCAGAGCTGGAACCGATAAGAAATCGAAAAACCGGTCCGGTTGCAGAATGCTTTTGAACCGGTGAATTTCCGGCAAACCGGACAGTATACTGTATAGCTGACTACGTCAAATGCGTCCTAGATACTGGAAAACATGTGAAGAAACGATGAAGTCAAATTCTACTCTTCACAGCATAGATTCAAACAGATTAGAATTTAAAGTTTTCTCATTGGATCCTAAGAAAAGTATTTAGAAATATAGTTTGAAATATTTGAATTCTTGACTAAGTATAATTAAAACTTGGAGTGAGGTCCTAGAAAAGAGATTTCTGATGTTTGCGAGTCATAGAACATTTTAATTTTGTGAATAAGATCTCGAGAGCATGATGCAGTTTTGCGTGATAGTGTCTATTGTTCCTTGGTAAGTTTACCGACTTAAAAGGATATGCAAAATCGAAAATTAGTTTTCAGTACTCTGCTTTTCTAGTATAAGTTATGCTTGTTCATGTTTTATTATCAAATCATCTTTTCATCATTGCTCATAAAAACAAAATGACAAAAAAAATATAAACAAAAAATGAGATATACAACAATAGGCAATCATATTGAAAAAAAATAGTCAATTTTATTCCAATGTTAATAATAACGGTATTAAGATATATATATACAGTATGATTCCTTTATTTTTGCTCATTTTCTTGAGTCTACTGTAGCATAATAATTTTATTTACCGTATTATTTTTCAAAGCATTGACAAGATGTTCTGTGCCATTGTCTCCTATTTCATTTCACGAGAGATTCAGTTTAATCAATATCTTGATGAAGAATAATCGTACGAAGATGATATTGATCAAAACAATACAGTATATTACCTTATTCTTTTTTAAGGAAGCAGCCAGGATTTGTGCATCGAGACATCCGATACTAATCGAAGAGTGATTTATTGTGGTAGGAGTCTACCAATGTAAAGATGTTATAAATGTGAAAGAGTTAAAAACACTATAATAATCACTGTGTTAATCTGCAGCATGCCACCTAAATATTGGATTCCAAGATCTCCAATCCAATTGTTTGAGAGTATTAATATTTCGAGCGCCTGTACGTGGAAAAGAGTTCTGTGAAAAATACGATGAAAGACTGAGTTTAACTGTATTATGTTTCAATGCATCAGCAAAACATTGTGTCCCTTCGCTTTCGATTCGATTCCCATAGAGTATCAACTTTTTCAGTGTCTAATCATCAAGGAAAAAATAAGCGACAATAGCATGATAGTAGAGTACGGCTAACATCTGTTGATTTTTATGACTTCAGTCTGATGTTGTGTTACCAGAGATCCAATTTCATTTTGGTAGAGACAATTCAGCAAGATTCTGTTTGCCAGCGAAGTGATTAAATGTAAAAAGTGAAAAACAGAAACTAATAGCTACTTGAGTGTGGGTGTGGACTTTGGCATCGCTTCATTCCCATCTACACCCACACTCACACCCTTTTGGATAGATACATCTAAGTTATTCATTTTATTTATATATACATATTAATATTACCTCTCAATTATATTCTTCATTTATTCTGGAACCTTCCGAGATGTTACAAATGCTTTTGAGCTCAAATTTCTATTACAAATTTATAAACTTAAAGTTTTGAATTTTGTTCTGAAACATGATCTACATGAAGATCTCCGCCATATTATCTTGCCTAGAAAATTGTTTTTATGTTCATATACTGTTACCTCAGAATTGATTTGTTGAGAAATTCTGAATCTTTGAGTTAACTAGAAAAACGAAAAACTTACAAGAGACTTAGAGTAAATAGTTAGCATATCAGCTAAGTTATAATTTTTTACCAGAACTATCTTTGGACATTTCTAGTCTACGTTCTCCCTACTTGTGGAAAAATCTAGAGATTCATAAATCAAATTATAATTTCAATCAAAAAAGCTGTAGAAAATTCAGGATTGTTATACACTTATGACAATTTATTTTTACTAATAGCACTATGGATGAAAAAGTATATTTATATTAAAACTATTGAAAATATTTGATTTTCTTTATTTTTTTTTGTAAAGAACAGATTATTTGCTTGTGTATCCAAATTTTACTTAACATGTAAATGAAAATTCGAGTTTGAACTGTACTTCTAATTAATCATTAATATTTTGGTAAAAAGTTTAACTAAAAATAATTGGAGATGAAAAATCCGAAGTTAATCTCAGTTTTGATGAATTAGAGTTGTACCTTTCGAAATTTTTACAGTGAACTAAATACAAAAATATAGGGAAAATGTGCTCATTTCACTTGTTGAAATATTGAAAACTGAGAGTTAAGAAAGATCTCACCGCTACTTGTTTAAATAAAAAGATTTTTACTTTGCCAATCTTTATATCTCAACAATCACAAATATTTGATTGTTAATGTTGCTTCGTCTTCAGCAAATTAAAAAAGCAAAGATTCTAACTTCAAATGATTGTAAAGATTCTTGAATAAG